TCTTCTCAAGCCTGCGGAGTTGGAGTAGTTCTATTCCCATCTGAAGTGGGTGGGATGTTGGCTGTTGCATTGCCAGAACCGTCTTCCGCAGCCTTCTCGTCATCAAGAAACACAGGAAGAAGCGCGGCCATCAGTCTAACAGCTAGAGGAAGACCACGAGACTTGTTCATCAGCTCATCTAGACATTTCTTGTCGTTCCTTGGAGGCTCTTTCTGCTTATTCTCTTTGACCGCTGCTTCATAGATATCCCACACACTTCTAGGATCAGTCAGAGGCCAAAGACGATGTATCTCATGTTTCTCTGCAACTAGCTTCTCCGCCAGATTCTTTTTCTCATCCCTGGTCGTGTATATGACTCTCCCACCGGACCCTTTAGGGAATCCATCTGAAAGATACCTTCCCCATCTCTCATCCTCCTTGAGTTTCTCATCGAGCTTCTCGTCCCATTTGTCCTCTTCTCGCACATCATCAAACACAATCAAATACTTCTTCCACCTCAGATTCAAATAAAGTGCATAGAGCAGAGCAGAGATCTCCTCTGTTTCAGTCGTCACACCAAGCTCCCCTTTTTCTTGCTTGGCAGAAGCTTCTTGTCTAGCCTCAGCATGGATGGAATCGAACATGTCATCTTTAACTCCAAGATCCTTCAAGATCTTCTTCAACACAGATATCTTTTTCTTATCTGCTTCTGTCTCTTGGCTATGCATAGAAACCCAAATCCTGGGAGCATAAACACTCTTCACATCATCATCGTTGAAGATCTTCTTGCACAGTGCTGTCTTTCCCACGCCGTATTCTCCGACAATCACAAGACTCTTGAACTCCTTGTAGACCTTTCGATCCAGCAAGAAGTTCTTCAGTGACTTGATCTCGTTCTGAAAACCGTAGATTTTCTGGACCGGAAGTGCAGAGTTGGTTTCCAGACGATCCTGCTCAGGCGTCGTATCCCTATGCTCCAAGATTCCTGGAGAAAGATACTTTGATTTGTCAACTTCATCTTCAGTTTTTTCGAGTTTGTTCTCGGCCCATTTGCTATAAATGGAAGTAAATCGGTCTTTGAAGTCTTTTTTGTCTTTTCCGTGCTGAGAAATTTCTTGAGGCATATTCAAGCGAAGCTACAAGAAAAGAGAGAGGAAAATTTGCAGGAAAGAAGATGAAGAAAACAAAAAAAGGTGAGGAATATTACTTAAGAAACACTTTAAATTACACGCCTCAGTTGATGTAAAAATGAGTTATCTAGACTGTAGCCTGAACGCGGATTGGATATCCGGAAAAAATATAGTATTATGATTCGCTTTATTTTCGACGAATATCTAATTTTTTTATTTGATTTACTTCGAAAAATTTCTGATATCCGGATTATTTTGGATATTTGCGGATATCCGAAACTTCACGGATATTAGTTTTAAAAAAATAAAAATTAAAACACCATAATTTTTTTTTCAAAACAAAAATTTTTATATAAGATTTAAACTAAGTAATGAATAAATATATCAAATGAGTCTAATTTTATTTGATAGAATAAAAAATGAAAAGTATATATCTTTTATTTAAGAAGTATATTTCAACAAAAGATAATATGTGTACCTATTTTTACTATAAATATACTCGCCAAATATTTAAAAGTAAAAAAATGTAAATATATGTTATAAATCTACCATATTATATGTATATATAAGTAATATACAGATCGGATCGGATATTCGAATTTTTAAAATTAGTATTTGTGATTTGTTTTAATTTAGACATATACTAAATTTTATTATTTGCTTCGATTTTATTCAAAACGGATATCCGAATTTTTCGGATCGGATCAAATCAAATAGCTAATCGAATCGAATTTAACGTCCAGCCCTCAATAGACCGCAACATTTTTGATCAAACCGGTTAAAAAAAGAAACTGAAACAAAAAATTGATAATTGAATACGACAAATATAAATTACGTAAAAAACGCCGTCCCCACGTTGATATATACAATAAATATATTCTATGTTTTACAAAAATGATTAAAAAAGACTAACATTTAAAGTCGTCGTAACACTGGCACAAAAAGTCGTCGTAAATAATATATTTTCATAGATTCAATTACAAAAATGCCCAACTATTCCATTATTTACTAGTACTTTATTTTTAAAAATACACATCCAGATCCAGCCCATCTAGTATTTAAGCTTAATGTCCAGCTGTACTGGTAATATTATTAAATTCCTTAACATTTACACCAAAAAAAAAAA